TTTAATTATTTCATCTAATTATTAAATTTTGTGTATTAAGTTAATATAATTTTTTACGATAAATTAATGTAAAAAATAAAAATATAATAATTACTTAATATTATTTAAAATAAAGTTGAAATTAAGTAGATAAGTGATGATTAAAGATTGTGGTAAAAAATTGAAAAATTAAAATAGGTAAATTTGTCAATAAAATTAAAAAATTTCAATTTTCTATTGATTTGGTATAAAAAGTTAGTTGAAAAAACTTTTTCAATCTGCTAGCGGTTTAGATTCTAACTACAATACACTAGTATCAGACCTAGTGTTTTTAAAACCAGACCAAATGAGCTAGTCAAACCGATTCAACTGCCACCCGATAGTCAAAATGGGTCCAGTGGACACCCATAACCATTTGGATGGTCGGGCTGTCCAAACTCGACAAAATTGTGGAAATCATTTCACCTGGCAGACTTGGTAAACTCGTAGGCCAATTTCAATACTCTTTGCAATTTTGTTTTTTTCCACATTTTTTTGCTAATTGTCTATTTTGTCCTCTTTCTTCAATGTTACCCTTTTTCCCTTCTACCCATTCCAATTTCATGGTAAAAAACACAAAATCTGAACAAAAATTGGGAAAATTAGAAACCCTAACCTAAAGGCTTCAACATTGACTCTTCTTCTCCATTGCTCTAGTCTTTATCACCTCCATTGTGCTTGCCTTGATCAATTCATCCACCAGCCCTTGCTGTTTATTTGAACCACGATTTATCCACCAGCCTTCATACTCACAACATCGCCTTCACCATCCAGCCCCTATCATACCACAGGGGAGATCGGCCTTAAGGCTTCAGCGCATCAATCACCTTCACCATGCCTTCATCAACTCATCCACTAGCCTTCACTGTCCATTTGAACCATGATTCATCCACTAGCCTTCACACTCACAATGTATCACCTTCACTGTGCCTTCATCGTCTAGCCCTCACCGAACGATAAGGAGATCGGCTAATAGTAAAACCTCCCAATTGTTTCCAATTTTTGCATGATTTTTTTATTTTCTTCAAATTTGAACCACGATTTTAGCAAAAATTTCCTAGGCTTCGGCTCTTCCTATCCATTTCTTCAATCTAGCTTTTATAGTGTTAGTTCTCCTTCTACTTTTACTCTATTTTTTATGATCAAATTTCTTGATTTAATGGTTGTTTTAGCACTAAATGTTTGAACTTTTTTGTTCTTGCTTCCTTCTAGCCCTCGCCAGTAGCTCTTGGCAGTGTTGTAACTCTAATTCCATTAGTCTTGCATATAAAACAATAGCAGAGGTCTTAACTCTTGAGGTATGAAATTATTTGATTATATTCAAATGTATGGAGTGAGAATATTATAGAATGCAAAGTAAAATAATTGAATTCATATATACATATTTTGCCTTTGTATTAATTCTTTGGCCATTAATGCTAAGTAAACAATTGCTAAGTTCCTTCATATTTTGTAACATATAGTTGATAGTATTCGCTTAGTGGTGACTATAAAACAAGTTTCAATAATTGGTACATGTCTTATTCTAACTTGTCAATTATTAGAATTGTTTTTTTTTTTTTAACTAAATGGTGATTCAAAATTGAATTTTGTTTTGTTTTGGGCTGCTTTGATGATTTTCTTTTATTTTGTTGTAAAATTGCAAAAAAATATGTTATCCTCTAGATAGAATTCAACTACTATATCATCCTAATCTTAG